AAATGACTTCCCGTGTGCATTGGAATAACCAGATGAGAGTGTGGGTGAGGAATAAGTGCTTTGGGCATAGACATCCAGATGTTGATGGGCTCCCCTACATCTCCTCAGGTCCATGCAGTTGGGGTTACAGGACTAGACCAAGACAATGAACTTGGAGCAGAAACAATATTTGTCACTTACAGTGCATTTCAAAGCCAAGGTATTTCCCCTCTTCCTCACTTCCCCTTTCCACAGGGACTGGGATGCTATGTGGTGCAGATAGTATCTTATAAGAGAAGCAACCAGGACACCAGAATCACTGTTTAGATGAGAGCTGCCAAGGAACGCCAGCCAGGGACTATAATATGCGTGAGAAGCACACTTTAGTTGTATGAAGCCACTGAGAACTTAGGGTTGGCTTGTTACTGAAGCAGAACCTAGACTTAGGCTGTCTAACCCAGTCCCTGGGGGGAAGGGGAAGGCAGCTCTATAATTTTTACTGGAAAGGTGTGTACAGGGACAAAGGACTGTGGCTTCAGTTTAGAAATCAATCCAGGGAGACTGCCTTCCCACTTGGTAGGATAATTTTGTTTTCATTTTTCCCAGAATCTCTGAGGTCTACTCTGATACTCCTTATTCATACCTTTTGTGGCAAACTTTTCAATGAATCAAATCGTGTTTACCTGGGCTGGAGCTCTGGGCAGAATCCTACCCTGAATTTGAGGAACATGAAGTGATCCCTTTGAAAAGCCTCTAGTCTGCTCCACTTAATGATTTCAACACTGCCTTATTTTTTGACTGGATGTCCAGGCTGACTATAGGCTCCGGCTGCCTAGGAAATGGCCCCACTCCTCAAACTTCTTTTGGTCGAACCTGGCTGATTTAAAGAAAAACTGACCTCTTGGTTTGAGGCTCTCAGAACTTTAAAAGAGTGCTACTTAGCTCTAGACAAAAGGACATTGATTTTCATGTTTACATAAAAAGAAACCAGCAGTAAACTGAACTGGATTGAAATCTCAGAAACCCACCTTTTCTTTTTTTTTTTTTCCACTCAAAACTAAGAACTTTTCTTAAACTTCCAGGAAGATCCTGTTTGTGAAGCCCAGTTAGGTGATACATAAGAAAATTCTTTATAAATCACTTGGGTTTGGTGCTGTCCACAGAAATGTTCTTTTCTTCGATTTCAGAAAAATAGGGCCTGATCATTTTTAAAAAGACTAAGCCACTGAAAGATCAGATGTTGTCTCCTGTGAACAGCTGCCTCGGAGGTGCCCTGCCCCTCATTAACAAGGCTGGGGACCACCCTCACAGCCAATCTCTATTCCAATCATGTGCCGCCCGCTTATTGTGCAAGTCTTATTTTTTTTAAAGCACCAAAACCCAGCATTTAGCCTGCGGTTTTCTCTATTTCCATCTCAGGACTCCTGGCAGACTGGGGCCATCTTTCGCTCGGACAGACCTTTAAATGATTCTTCATGCTTTTGTCACATAATTAAAATTAGATTACTTCAGTTCCCTGCTGGCCAGCCGGCCTGAGTAGGGGCCCTTGTAAAGCCTCCAGCTGGCCCAGGGGCCTTTGAAAAGAGGAATATGGTCCAAACACCCTCCGCCTGGAAGCCGCTGTGCTGCTACCAGTGCCACAAGCTTCAGCCTGAGCATATCAATGGCTGCTTATTCTCCAAGGGCCGCTTTTTCCCTTCTCAAGAACTTGCAGTCAGAGCGCTGGCATGTGCGTTTCGAGCTGACACTCTCCCAGACCCCATTTTCCAGCACCCCAAGAACTGACCTTTCATGGACTTACCTGCCAGGTGGACTGAAATGGACAAGCAGAGGTGGCAGGCAGACCAGGCAGCAGTGTGCACACATCTTCCTTCCAAATAATCCCAGCCAAGGCCGAAGTCAAAAACCCCTTGTCTTCCCTGGGCCCTTCTCCTTTAAACCTCATTAAACTTCTGCCAATGGGACCCCCCCACACACCCAGCTGGTTTCCACAGGCTACATTAGGGCTCCCTGCTGAGCAGCCTGCGCTCAGCAGCCAGCCACCCAGGGGCACCAAACAGCCCTTCCATCACACCTCCTCCTGCCGATGGGCAACATCTGCCTCTTCTCTCTCCTTCTTCATTTCCCTAAACAGATACAGGCAGGGCAAATGAGGATTAGCCTCACTACTGGTCAAGACATCTCAGCTCCCTTGGCAGAAAGAACCGCTCTCCCTGGTTTCTCTTGGCATTTACTCTGGCCGGGTGCCTCCTTCACAGTCCCTGCCAGGGTCATTGGGTTTGTTTTCTCTCTGCCCTCCTTCCACCCATCCACAGCCCTGAAAGAGGCCAGTGGAATCTGTCCAGTTGTAGGTCGATTCCTGCTCCAGCAGCTTATTTGCACTGTGACCTTGAGTTGGTAACTTACCCTCTCTGAACCTTATTTCCCTACCCTAAATTTAGGAATACTAATGCCCTTCTCAAGTGGCTGTAGAGAAGATCAGAAATGATACCTTAATGCCTGGCCTGTGGTGGGTGCTTTCCCCTGGCTTCTCAACAGACTGGGGAAATTGCTCTTAACGCTTAGTTCCTCAACACTGTCGCCCCTCTTTCTGTAAAAGGCAGTTCATTTCCCTAGTCTCACTGTAACTGTTGTCTGGAGTCACTCCGACTGGGTGGATCTCCTTAAAACTCTAGAAAACAGCCATCCCCATGTTTTCTGCCAGGAAATCTCAACTGCTCTGCTGTGTGCCTTGAAGGTGTGTGTGTGTGTGTGTGTGTGTGTGTGTGTGTGTGCGCGCGCAATACATGCCAGGCCCTGCAATGCATGATGAGCACTTGGCCTGGATTTTCGTACATGAAGTAGCTTCTACTATATCCCCACTTTACCGATGAGGAAATCACAGCACAGGGGTCTGACTGTGCCAGAACCCACCACACCCTTAGCCAATGGCAAAGCTGGAGGCTGGGCTGAGCAGTGGGCTCCGGAGCCTGCACCGCAGCCTGTTTTTCAAGGATTGTGGAGGTCAATCCAGAAACAAGGCCTTGGAGGATTTTCAGGGGAAAAGAACTCAAGTCCCGGGGAACAATAAGACATCCTTTACCACCTGTTCCCACAACCTCTCTACCTGGCTCCATTCTCAGAGCCGGTGGATCTCAACCAGGAGGAATGTTGCACCAGGGGGACCTTCTGGGGTGTCAGGAGACGGCTGGAAGGGTGGGGGTGGGTGCTACCGCAGCTGGGGGTAGAAGCCAAGGACACTGTCCTCCAGTGCCCAGGACAGATCCCTTCTCCAAGTAGGCCTGCCCAGCCCCGAGCCTGAGGGTGCAGAGGTGGAGAAAATCTGCTCTACCTCCTGAGGTATCTTCACAAAGGGGTGGGGGCCTAGGGGATAAGGAGCCCCAGGAAATTGTTTCTCCCATGTTATCAGCTGGCACAAAGCCAGATGCCAATTTGTGCGATGCATCTATGGGAAGTTAGTGACTTTCAAAAGCAATAATTTTGAGATTTCTTTTAAACATTTAGAGAATGGTGCTAAAATGCTTAAAAAATTAGAAAATAGTAGTGACGATACAACACAACCGAAAATATTTTGTGACCTTTTAAAAACACTTAGAAATTAATGTCACTAGTGTCAAAAATGACAAATTATTCAAAGCCAGCAAAGACTAGTACCAGCAGCTTAGAAAGCATTAGGAACTGTATTTTGATTCAAATTTTAATGTAATGTGCCTCCAGGCAGTGAGAAATGGTTTGAAAAGGAAGTAAGATTGGGGAAACTGAGCAAAGGATATTCCTCTACAAAGTGTGTAAGCCCATGGGAGGAACATGAGCACTCTGACGGTGGACCAAGCCCTCTGGCTGGGCAGGACCAGCGAAACCTTTAGTAGACATAGAATCCTGGGCCCAGAAAAATGTTTTAATTTCTTTTAAAATCAGAATAAAAAGTGAATATAATGATATTAAGTAATAATGTTATTCTATTTTGTTACAGTCTTGAATATAAGTGATGTCATAAAAGGAATATAGAAAAGTGAATCCAGCCTGGACTGTGTTACTCTTTAAACCAACACAATGATAAAGTATCAGTTTCAAATGTTTTTATGAAGCCAGGCATGGTGGCTCATGCCTGTTTTCAAAAGCCTAAGGCAGGAGGATCACAAGTTCAAAGCCAGCCTCAGCAGCTTAGTGAGGTCCTAAGCAAGTTAGTGAGACCCTGTCTCTAAAGAAAAATAAAAAGGGATGAGGATGTAGCTCGGTGGCTGAATGCCCCTGGGTTCAATTCCCAGTACTAAAGGCAGGGGGTGGTGGGGGCTCATGAAGGGGTTTGGCCCTAAAGGGACAAGAAGTAGTACATGGCACCTCAAAGCTATCCACGTTGCCAAAAAGCAACCTCTTCCACGTCCATAAAATGCCCGAACAGCATTACAACAGCTCATGCTACAGTTTTATTGGCACTGTTTTATGAGGGGAAGAAATCTAAGATGTCCTCAACACTTGGCTGCCTCGGTCAACACAACGTCACAGAAGTTCTCCCTGGTGGTTCAGCGTCTGGAGGGGAACATTTACAGGGCAGCACCGAGGCACCGTCCTGCCTCTCCCAGCTCTCCCGGCCGCTCCCACTGCCCGAGTGGCTGTTTGCAAGGTCCCTGATTCTGACGGGTGCTCTGACCAAGGTGACCGAGATTGGGAAGGGAGTTGAGGATCCCTGAATGCTGGCCTGGGGGACTCGGGAAGGTCAGGCTCTTCAGATCCTGGTGGACAATTTCAAGACACCCTTGGGTCTCTCCCCATCTAGCTGAGCAAAGAAGGCCAACAGGCAAAGTCAACCAGAGAATCACACAAGAAGGCTACTGCGAAGCCACCCAAGGAACCCGGGTGACCAGGAGGGATGAGTGAGGGGCATGCAGTCCCTCGCCCTCTCTCTCTCTTCCCCTTTCTCTCTCCCCGCTCCCTCCCTCTCTCTCTTCTTACAATGCACATGAATTACAATGGTCTCAGAATTTTCAAAGTTTAATTTTTTTAAAGGAAGGAAAGGCGGAGAAGGGGAAGGGAGGGAGCCAGAGCAGGATGAGGGAGGGAGGGAGGGCGTGGGGAGGGACACAGCTGAAGACCGTGAGAGGCCTGGATGGGAGTAAAGTGATCAATCAGTTTTCTGGGCAGACACAGAAGGGCCAGGGGCTGACAGCAGCAGTGCGTGGTTAGAAGCTCTCTTCCGGCCACTTGTCACATGACCTTGAGGAAGGCAGTGTTTCCCGCCATTTCCATGGGAGTTGAACCAGAGCACCTCTGCCAACTTCCTAGCTGAGTGCCAGGCCTGACCACGTGTTTGTCACACAACTGGGGGACCCGGGGGCTGCGTTGGCTCAGCTCACACAGCACCAGGAAGGTGACGGAGCCCGGGTGAGAGGTGAGACCCCACATTCCGCGTCCCTTCCTCCCAGCCCTGTGCCCTCCCATACCCAATGGCACGGGACTCGATGCCGGTTCCCAAACTCCCAGGAAAAGGCCGGGTCCTCCTCCCAGTCCACCCTGAGAAATGGAAACAGAACCCTCCCTGAAAGGCGGTAGAGCCTCACATTCCCTCTTTAGATGTTCCTTTTACTTGTGTCTTGGAGTCAACCCAAGAGGATTTTCATGGACATCTGTTGCTGTCCTTGAGTGCCCCACGATGGTTCTCGCCATCCTGCACGTCTGAACGTGTCTGTGCCTGCAAATATAAGGATGAGAGGCCACTAGGTGGATATGAAATGGTGCTGACCCTCTGCCCAAGGTGGCCGAGCTTCTCACACCGAAAACCATCTTTGTGACCCACATGTCTCTCCAGCACCAGTGCATGGCCTTGGATGAGTTCGCAGGTGTCCACTGTAATGTTTGCCATGTTTCTGGCAAGAACAGGAAACCATAGCACCCAGGACTTGTTTCTCTGCCCTCTGATATTTCCTTCATTACCAGGTGTAAGTAAAAATGGTTGGCAGCATTCGAGAAGCCCAAGGACATTTTCTGAGTGGACAAAGTTAAGTGACCTGGTTGTTCACTCAGCAAGTATCCTTAGGTTTTAGAACTGGTTTGGTGGTCTGCCCATGGTATCCACCTGCAAAGGTCTACAGAGCGGTGTAGACCCAAGGAGAAGGTATGGACTATCCACTTGCTGTTTTGTTGTGGACACCTTAAAACGTCACATCCACACACATCCCTAAATTCATGCCAAGAGCAGTGGTAAAGTGCAGCCAGTGGCCAGTTACCTTCTGGAGTGAGTTTCCTGATGCGCAGGGAGCCACCCATCCAGCACCTCCTCCGCATTGCCACTGCGGCCACAGCCACAGCCAGTGTTCTCAGGGTCCGTGGCCCGCTGGACTCCGCGGCCCGCTGGACTCCGCCTGGTGTTCTTTCTCATGCCCTGCTTGCTGGGATGCCTGCAGAGAACACCCAGCCCCCCTGCCACATTGGAACTAGAGGGGGACAACAAGGGAAGTGGAGCCAGCGAGCACATATTCCTTCTGTTGTGGACACTCCTCAAGCACACTCTGGAAGGTTCCTTGCAGGGTCTGCAGTGGGCAAGATCTCCTGTTGGACCACAGGAATAAGCAGATCAATGACACTCTCTTGAGTTGGAGTCCCTTTTTCTCTGTCTCCCTGTCCCCAGAGCCCCTCCCAGCCTGCTGCTGGGTCATGCCCTGTGTCCGTAAGGTGCTCACCTGCTTTTCTCATGGCAGGGATGGCCAGGAAAGCACGTGCTCTAAGCCTCCCATGTCCCTGAGCCTAGGACCACACATACACACAGAGTCCCCAAAGAGGGAAACTGATGTCAGCACACTGTATGTTACACTACTATGTGCTCGATGCTAACAGTATCAGTAACAGTCAAATGTCTGCAAAAATAAAGGCTTAAAAAATTCAACCAAGGGCTGGGGCTGGAGCCCAGTGGTAGAGCGCTTGCCTCGCACATGTGAGGCACTGGGTTCAATCCTCAGCACCACGCGGAAATAAGAAAGTAAGGTATTGTGTCTGTTTACAACTAAATACATATATATATTCTACCAAGGCGACGAGAGAGGGCTCCAAAATGGGAAAGAGGAAATGATGACATGATGATGGCGAGGGAAGAAAAGGGTCAGCAGAGCCCTCAGTACTGACTTGCTCCTTTGCCGGGCTTTGGTGTCCTTGACTCTCAGCATTCTTCCTCGGATCTCAGTCCTCCGTGGAAAGCTGCCTGCACATCGTCCGGCGTCATCTACAAACGTTCACAGGAGTGTCACGAGGAGCATCCTGAGCCTTGTTCGGGTAATATGCCCTCATTTAATAACAGCAGAGAAAATGACTCGTGATCAAAAGAATATTGCAGCAACATCCGACAGGAACCCAGACTCCTATCTGTAAGTGACATAGTTTGAGTTTTCAAGTTGAGTTTGTAATTCTTTTGAATCAGGCTCCATTCACAAATTTATTTCAAATAAAGAGGATGACTTCAGGAAACCTGTCTTAAATACTTTTGAGTTTTGATAGAAGAAAAAAAGAAGTGAATGAACCAGACAGGCTAGAGAAATAAAGATGAGACAGTGATTTCCAAATTCTGAACTCAGCTGGCTGCTGTGATTTGGTGAAATACAGTATAAAGTATGTTAAAAATAAAAAGAGCCTGGAGGAACAATGATTAGCTCTGAATACTCAAGACAAAAAGAAGAAAAAGAAGAAAGAAAAAGAGAAGGGGAAGGGGAGAAGAAGAGAAAGGACAGGGGCGGAATTTACATTCAGTCTATTTTTCTAATGTAAACCTAGGATGAGGAAGGCTAATAAGGTGCTATTTCTGTGGCATAAAATAATAAATTCTAGAAACCCCATCTATTCTAGAATTCCTTATCCCTCCCAGTTACTTGTTTGATTTAAGGCATTATTATTATTATTATTATTATTATTATTATTATTATTATTTAAACTCCACACCCAAATAGCCTTTGTTTCATGGTTCCTTTTCAATTTAGTTGTCACTTGTGGGAACTTGGAGGAAGCAGGACACAAGACAAGTGAGTTCCAGTCATTTCAATCATCATACAGGAGTCAGGACGCAGAACTGGGGAAACACATCAAGGTTTAGTAGAATCTTGGTTCCTGTCAAGGTGACATGATCCAGGATGTAATTGACAGGGAGCTCACATGGGGTACGTTTAGGGTATTCAAGTGACTTTATTTGAAATAAATGGGGCAAAAGAAAATTTTTCAATAAATGGTATTGGGACAAGGAGGAAGCCACTTGGAAAACATTACATCCACATCATTTTCCTTGAACCAAAATAAGTTACAGACAGAAAGCCTATAGCAATGTAAATAACAAGATCAGACAGTATGAAAAGGAAACAAAGTTTTTAATTACGAAGTGGGCAAAGACCTCTCGATGACTCAACAAAAGTTATAAAAAGATAAATTTAACTATATAAAAATTTTAAAATTCTGCAAAGAAAAAACATTAACCACTCACGGCAGCTGACAAGCGGAAAAGTATTTGTTACTCAAATACAGACATTTAGATCATCTCCCTGAAACAGGGATCCACCAGGAATACATTCTAAGACCCCCAGTGGAGGCCTGTGATTGTGCCTAGTACCCAACGCCATACACACTCTGCTTTTTCCTATGTGTACATTCCTATGATTCAGTTTAATTTATAAATCAGGTCTAGTTAGAGGTTAGCAACGACAATAAAATGAAACAAATATAACTATATACTGCAATAATAGTGATATAAATGTAGTCTCTCGTGAAGGAATCAAGAGGAATAATATTTCTAGGCCACAATTAACTGCATTAACTACGGGTAATGAAAACTGAAGTTAGTAAAACCCTGGGTAAGGGGACATGAAGATTCATAAAAACCTACAAATACTTCTTAAACATATAAAATGATGTTCAACCTCACTCAACCAAAAGGGAAGACAAACTAAAACCATAAAGTGATGGAGTTTCAGAGCTACCCGTGAACAGGTTGCACGAATTCTCGAAATTTAGATGCACAAAAACTCCCTGGAGATTTTACCAGCATGCAGATTCTGATTGAGAAGGTCCAGGGATGGGGCCCAAAAATTTGCATTTCTAGGTGAGGATGTGGGGGAAAGGCACACTCATACACTGCTGGTGGGACTGCAAATTGGTACAACCACTCTGGAAAGCAGTACGGAGATTCCTTAGAAAACTGGGAATGGAACCACCATTTGACCCAGCTATTACACTCCTCGGTCTATACCCCAAGGTCTTCAAATCTGCATAGTGATGCAGCCACATCAATGTTCATAGCAGCTCAATTCCCAATACCTAAACTGTGGAATCAACCTAAATGCCCTTCAGTAGATGATGGATAAAGAAGCTGTGGTATATATACATAGTGGAATATTACTCAGCATTAAAAGAGAATAAAAATCATGGCATTTTCAGGTAAATGGATGGAGTTGGAGATTACCATGCTAAGCAGAGTAAGCCAATGCCCCAAATCCAAAGGCCGAATGTTCTTTTTCTCTTATAAGTGGATGCTGATCCATAATGGAGGAGGGAGCGTGGGAAGTATGGAGGAAATTTGATTGGGCAAAGGGGAGGGAGGGGAGGGGAGAGGACATGGGGGCAGGAAAGATGGTGGAATGAGATGGACATCATTATCCTAAGTACATGTATGACTGCACATATGGTGTGACTCTACATCATGTACAACCAGAAAAATGAAAAGTTGTGCTCCATCTGTGTACAATGAAACAAAATGCATTCCGCTGCCATGTATAACTAATTAGGACAAATAAAAAAAGAATTTTCATTTCTCATAAACTCTTTGGAGATTCTTCTTCTGCTGGCCCACCCACACCTTATGTAGCATGCGTTGCTGGTGGGCATTAAATTTATATTGTCTGTCTAGAGGGCAATTTGGCAACACCTTTTATATTAAAAAGCACACATCTTTGTCACAATTTCACTTTATACATGGGATAATTAGTAATTATTCTATGGTATTTTCACATAGGTGTAAAATTACATGTGAATGAGGAAATTTATTGCAGCATTATTAACAATAGCAAAACTTGGAAGGGATATCTTTTTTTTTAGAAAGAAAGACAATTTTTTAATATTTATTTTTCAGTTTTCGGCAGACACAACATCTTTGTTTGTATGTGGTGCTGAGGATCAAACCCGGTCCGCACGCATGCCAGGCGAGCGCGCTACCGCTTGAGCCACATCCCCAGCCCTGGAAGGGATATCTTAAATAGTTTAAATGCACTATCCAGGGGCTGGAGTTGTGGCTTAGGGGTAGAGCACTTGCCTAGCACTTGTGAAGCACTGGATTCAATCCTCAGCCCCACATAAAAAATAAACAAATAAAATAAAGGTATTGTGTCGAAAAAATACACTCTCCATATAATCTAATATGCATATGGGAGAAATAATACTGATACTGATATGGAAAAATCTCAATATTGATACCAATATTGAGAATCAGGTTGAGTCCTGTTCCCCTGCCCAGGGGTCCAGGCAGGAAGGGAGACACCAAGGGACTTGCCAGGGAGGAACAATTCCCTGGAGGCAGGTAACCTTGGCAACAGGTGGAGGAGGGGGAAGTGCTCTGGAGGTATTAGCATATTGTTTCCTCTGGAGTCAGCCCCCATCCTCCTGACCCAGTTATTCATCACCTACACTGACTGTCCTTTTGCCCCTACCTCCTCCCTCAATATCAGATATTTTCATTATATAAAGATGGTTTATATTAGTGGGTAAAGAAAACCTACATGCATTTGTGCCTCTGTCTGTGTGTGTGATTGTTTTACTGAATGAGCTAAAAACTGATATTTTCCCTCCCCATGCCTGTTCAAACCTGCACTGGGATTTAAGTCCTTTCCAGCCCCAAGAAGAAATAGATTCCAAAGCTTTTTCAGACACACTTGTATAACATCCGCATGCGCACACACAAACAGCCCAGTACTGTTTATTACCAATGGAGTTTTCTTTCCTGTGTCTTCTGCCACTGCAGGCAGATGGCCACAGCTTCCTGTCCTGGGACTGCCCATATCCCAGTCATCAGGCCTCATGCATTGGGTAGCGAGACCCGCATCGAGCTAACCAAGGACGCCTTGGACACCCCTCTCTGGTTTGAGGAGCAGTAAGGCGGAAACTTCCATCTTGTTTGAGCTACTATTTCTGGAGTCGCCCTCTTTGCCTCAATTGGAACAGTTGCAAGTATAGATTTTATGGATATATAGAGTTTTTTTTTTTTTTTGCATTGGTCAACATGAAGTTAAGATTTTATGTAAACCTCCGATTTCTGACAATCTGAAATTCATGACAGCATGGCTGTGTCTGCCTTGGGAACACTGGGCTGAAGCTGAGCAAAGGCTGCCCCTGTCCTGGGACCCTTGGGTCCCAAGGTTCCTGCCACTCTCTGTTGTCTCCATTTACTGTCACTAGCACTGCAGCCTTTCAGTTGTGACCCTTCCCCTGGCTACTGAGAGTGTCAACAACGGACTTGGATAAAATGGTTAACCCTTCAAAGTATTCCACGACTTCTTCAAACCTTTGCCCCTGGTTTTCCTGACCTTCCTTCCCTCCAAATCCAGGAGGGATTTCTAACTGCCCCAAGTTGTACTCCTTCCCAAAGGAAAATGGGATCTCATTCAGACCAAACTGTTAGTGATTTAATATGACCTTTGGGGGGAAAAATGGTCAGGAGTAGACTAGCTTTCCCAAATGGTGAAATTCCAGCCATTCCAGCATTTGTATGAATGAGACATTTTGGAGCAAGAGAGGGTCCCCTAAGGCCCTTGAGAGCACATCTGGTGGACAATTATTCCTTTTCTACTTGATGTCAGCCAGCTAGAATCGTGGCCAAAACGATCATGACAGCTGTTCCTTTGTGCTGTTCAGGCTAGTGGCTTGCCAGGGAATCCCTGCCCTGGTTGATTCTTCCTGGTAAAAATATTTATATAATTCATCCCTATTCTGGGAAGGGATGGGATGCCCTGTGTGTTTTAACCTAGCAGAAGCCTAATGGGCGCCATCAGCGCATTGTGGGAACATGGACGGGGGGGGGGGGGGGGGGGGGTGCAGGGAGGAGGGAGGGGTGGGCAGAGTGGAGGTAGGAAGAAAGATTAAAAACTTGAACATCAACTTAGCCACATCCACAGACAGAGAAAGTCAGGAAGTTTTTTTCACGGTGCTCTGAAATCTTAACCCACATCTGGTCATTTGTACAGATTGTTCTGGAAGCCCATTTTGAGAAGGATGACAAATCCAAAAAAAAAGCATTTTGAGAAAAGAAACCAAGAGAAGGAGAGGTTGGACCCACACCTACAATAAGAGAAGACTACGGAAGAATTCCGTGGCTGCCTTCAGAGAGTTGAAAGGCTGTCATCAAAAAGAGGGACCTTGGGGATCAGGGATTTGTGGTGCCCAAGAACAAACCAAGACCAATGGATAGAAGTTATGGGATGGGAGTAGGAGGAGATCTTGGCTCGGGATATAAATTTAGCAGCTACTAGATAGAGAGTGGAGGGAAATGACTTTCCCTTTTACTAAAAATACCCTGAGAGAGGCTGTTTGGCCATCTGTTTGCAATGCTATAGAAAGAATCCTTACCCTGGTTGGTGACGGCCTGATTTGATTTTTGTTGGGACTCTTGAGACTAAATTCCACATTTAT